TGCCTACTACAAGTCAGGCACCATTCTAGGCTTACCTATCATACTGTATTGTTATTACCTGCTTCAGTACTTTTTTTTTTTTTAAAGACGGAGTTTCACTCTGTTGCCCAGGCAGGAGTGCAGTGGTTTGATCTCGGCTCACTGCAACCTCTGCCTCTCTGGTTCAAGCGATTCTCATGCCTCCGCCTCCCGAGTAGCTGAGATTACATGCGTGCACCACCATGCCCGGCTAATTTTTGTATTTTTAGTAGAGAGGGGTTTCACCATGTTGGCCAGGCTGGTCTCAAACTCCTGACCTCAAGTGATCCACCTGCCTCAGCCTCCCTAAATGCTGGGATTACAGGCTTAAGTCACTGCACCCCACCAATACTTATTGATCTATATGGTATGGTAGTGTAATTCAGATGCCCTAAAATTCACCCTTTTAAGTGTATAATTCAGCGGTTCTTAGTATATCTACAAGTCTGTGCAAGCATCACCATTACCCAATTCCCAAACATTTTTATCACTTCAAAAAGAAATTCATTCAATTACCAAAAAAAAAAAAAGTGATTTAAAAAAACAAGACCAGGTGTAGTGGCTCATGCCTGTAATCCCAGCACTTTGAAAGGCCAAGGCGGGTGGATCACTTGAGGCCAGTAGTTCGAGACCAGCCTGGCCAGCGTGGCGAAACCTCATCTTTACAAAAAAAAAAAAAAATTAGCCGGGTATGGTGGCACACACCTGTAATCGCAGCTACTCAGGGGGCTGAGGCGTGAGAATTGTTTGAACCCAGGAGGCAGAGGTCGCAGTGAGCTGAGATTACACCACTGCACTCCAGCCTGGGTGACAGAGTGAGACTCTGTCTCTAAATAAATAAATGAATAAAACAGAAAGACACCTACTTTGCAACCACAAAAATCAAAAATTAAAAAATTTAAAAAACAAAAAAAAAACCAAAAAAAACAGAAAGAGGCCGGGTGCAGTGGCTCATGTCTGTAATCCCAGCTACTCTGGGAGGCTGGGGCAAGTGGATCATGTGAGGAAGACTTGTCTCAAAAAAAAGAATTAGCGGCCAGGCACGGTGGCTCACGCCTGTAATCCCAGCACTTTGGGAGGCCAAGGTGGGCAGATCACAAGGTCAGGAGTTTGATACCAGTCTGACAAAACATGGTGAAACCCGGTCTCTACTAAAAATACGAAAATTAGCTGGGTGTGGTGGCACGCGCCTGTAATCCCAGCTACTCAGGAGGCTGAGGCATGAGAATCGCTTGAACCTGGGAGGCGGAAGTTGCAGTGAGCTGAGATTGCACCACTGCACTCCACCCTGGGTGACAACAGAGCAAGACTCCGTCTCAAAAAAAAAAAAAATTAGTGTCACGTGGTGGCATGTGCCTGTAATCCCAGCTACTTGGGAGGTTGAGGCAGAAGAATCACTTGAACCTGGGAGGTGGAGGTTGCAGTGAGCCAAGATCATGCCACTGTGCACCAGCTTGGGTAATGGAGCAAGACTCCATCTCAAAAAATAAATAAATAAATAAAAATAAAAAAAAAGAAAGAAACCTATTAGTAGTCATTTTCCATTCTCCCCTCCCTGAAGCCATGGCAATCACTAATCTTTCTGTCTCCATGGATTTGCCTATTCTGGACATTTCATATAAGTGAAATCATACAATATATGGTCTTTTATGGCTGGCTTCCATATAGATCAATAAGTATTGATCAATATAGATCAATAAGTATTGGTGGGGTGCGGTGACTTAAGCCTGTAATGTGATTTTACAAGATTCATCCATGTTGTAGTATGAATCAGTACTTTATTCCTTTTTATGGCTGAATACTATTTCATTGTATAGATACACCACCTTTGGTTTACCTCTTTATCAACTGATGGGCATTTGGGTTGTTTCCACCTTTTGGCTCTTTTGAATAATGCTGCTATGAACATTTATGTACACATTTTTCTGTAGACATATGTTTTGCTTTCTCTCGGAACTATACCTAGGTAGGAGCGGAATTGCTGGGTCGTGTAACTCCATATTTAATCTTTTTGAGGAACTGATAGACTATTTTCCAAAGCAGCTGCACCATTTTACATTTCCACCAGCAAGGTACAAGGGTTCCAATTTTTCCACCTCTCATCAATACTTACTATTGCCCTTCTCTTTGATTATAGCCATTCAAGTGGGTGTGAAATGTTTCTTCTGAAGTTCTATGAGAACAGGGACTCCATCTGTCTGGTTCAGCACTGTATCCCAGAACCTACTACAGTGCCTGGAATTTATTACATACTAAATATTTTGTTAAATACACTAAAAAACTGTTGAGTGAATGGATAAATCAAAAGCTATTTGGATAGTTACAATGGGTATCATGTATTTATCTCTCTAATAGGGATCTTCCAAGGGGTCTAATACCTTTTCTTTTGTTGTTAGTATAGTACTGAACCACTCTTCTGATACCATAGTCTTTCTTCTACAAGCAAATTGGATTAAATTTAAGCTTTCTTGTTTTGCCTCTTTAGGTATACACATACTCATATAGGCACCTACAGATAATTTATTAGATGTTGGCACATTTTGTTTCTTCCTATTTTTATTTCTCTAACAAACAACTCTTACTTCTTTTTTTTTTTTTTGAGACGGAGTCTCACTTTGTGGTCCAGGCTGGAGTGCAGTGGCCGGATCTCAGCTCACTGCAAGCTCCGCCTCCTGGGTTTACGCCATTCTCCTGCCTCAGCCTCCCGAGTAGCTGGGACTACAGGCACCTGCCACCTCGCCCGGCTAGTTTTTTGTATTTTTTAGTAGAGACGGGGTTTCACCGTGTTAGCCAGGATGGTCTCGATCTCCTGACCTCGTGATCCGCCCGTCTCAGCCTCCCAAAGTGCTGGGATTACAGGCTTGAGCCACCGCGCCCGGCCAACAACTCTTACTTCTATAAGGCTGTTTGCTCACCTCCAGGTATTTCGTGCTTGCAAATAGCTTTCCTCCTGTTTCCAGGCTGGCCACACTGGAACAATCAATATCTGTGACAGGCTAGCCTTGCTCTTTTGGTTTTCTTTTAATATTTCTCTACACCCTGTTTTGGCCCCCCAGTTTAGAAGTATCTGGGGTCATTTAATAGGTAGAAGTCAGTTAAGCCAGGGACTGTGTGATCCTCACAGCCAGCACCTAGCACTTGATAAACAGTTGTTTAGCTGTCACAGTGGCTCATGATGTAATCCCAGCACTTTGTGAGGCTGAAGTGGGAGGACTGCATGAGGCCAGGAGTTCCGGCCTGGGCAACATAGGGAAACTCCCATCTCTACTATATATTAATGATGTACGTATATATATTTTTTGAGACAGTCTCTTTCTGTTGCCCAGTCTGGAGTGCAGTGATGTGATGTCAGTTCATTGTAACCTCTGCCTCCCGGGTTCGAGCCATTTTTCTGCCTCAGCTACCCAAGTACCTGGGACCATAGGCGTGAGCTACCACACCTGGCTAATGTATTTATTTTCTATTTTTAGTTTTTTAGTAGAAACAGGGTTTCACCATGTTGGCCAGGCTGGTCTCAAACTCCTGACCCCAGGTGATCCCCCCCGCCCCCCGCCCCACTCCGTCTCCTAGAGTGCTGGGATTACAAGCGAGTCACCATGTCGTGGCCTGATTTTCAAATTTTTAACAGACTTTTACTCAGGAGGCTGAGGCAGGAGAATTGCTTGAACCTGGAAGGCGGAGGTTGTCCAGCCTGGGCTACAGAGCAAGACTCCATCTCAAAAAAAAAAAAAGAAAGAAAGAAAGAAAGGAAAAGAAAAACAGGCCAGGTGTGGTGGCTCACGCCTGTAATTCTAACACTTCGGGAGGCCAAGGCGGGCGGATTACCTGAGGTCAGGAGTTCAAGACCAGCCTGGCCAATATGGTGAAACCCTGTCTCTACTAAAAATACAAAAAATTAGCCGGGTGCAGTGACACGCGCCTGTAATCCCAGCTACTCAGGAGGCTGAGGCAGGAGAATCGCTTGAACCTGGGAGGCAGAGGTTGCGATGAGCCGAGATTAGGCCATTCCACTCCAGCCTGGGTGACAGAGTGAGATTACGTCTCAAAAAAAAAAAAAAAAAGAAAAAAAAAGAAAGAAAAAAAAGAAAAAGAAAAACAATTGTTCGCTGAATGAATGTGAATATAGGAGAGAAAGACGGACTGAGGTATCAAAGGAACCCTCCCTTGCAAAATGATGCAGGCTTGGTCAACAATACACCTATTGAGTACCCACCGTGTCCTTGGCCATGGTGTAGGCCGAAACACAGAACATGGTAAACAAAACAGGGCTCCAACCTTGGACAGAAGGTTTCTATAATCACTTCTAGCTACGTTGTTCTATTTCCATATCCATATCTATTCACATTTTATGGTACCTCTATTGGTTCTGAAAATTACATTTTAGCTAAGGAATCTACTCATTTGCTTAAGCCCAAAATAGGAAGTTCTGACCTAGTGTCAGCAACACTCCGGATTCACAAGTGTCCCCATGGCGCTGTTTACCCCCAAATAGCTAAACCCCGCCAAATGTTGAGATTCCGGACCTGAGGGGTGCTTGGATGGGGAACCCCCGAAAGAATGGACATCACGTCCACCAGAGGGTGCTGTGGGGGCAAATTTGTGCCAGGAGGGGAGCTCGACTGGTGACCCTCAGAGCCAGGTAGGCGTAAGGAGTAAATCTCCTTCTTCCCGGTGTTTCCTTCCCACCCCCTCGAACCATTGCTGCCCCTCCCCCATACGTGGTTCCCCCTGAATAATTTGCCATTTTCGGGGACTTAAGAAGTGTTTGCTTTTCAAAGACATCTGGTTTCTGTGGCTAACGCCCAGTGGCTCAGGCCGCCCAGGTCACAGGCCGGCCGGGGGCGGGCGGTGGGTGGGGACTGCTGGGGCGTCAGCTGCCCGGGCGCCGCAGGGGCCGCGAAAGGGTTAACCCGACGGGGGGAGGGGGAGGGGGCGCAGGCCGCGCCTGCGCTCTGCCGCCCTCCATTGTCTCCACGGCGGCCAGGAGCGCCGGCAAGCGCTGCCCGGGACCGAGCGGGGTGGCGCGGCTGGCGGGGCCGGCGGCGACTGAAGCGAGAGCGCGACACGACGCGACCGCGGCTTCCCGAGCTGCGCCTGGCCGCCCAGCGCCGCGGCCCGCCCGAGGCCTGGAGAGGTCCGGGCCGCCGTCCATGGTCGCGGCGTCCTGAGGCGGGGGACGCGCCTGGCGCCCCCGGTCCTCCTCCTCCTCCCGCGGGGCGGGCGGCCTCCTCCGGCGCCTCCCCGCGCCCGCCTGCCTCTCGCCGCCGCCTCCCTCCCTCCTTCCCTGCGGCTCCCCCGGCTTTCGGAGCCCGGGGGCGGCCTGTGGCGCGCGGAGCCCGCGCCGGACTGCGCCTCTTTGGACCTTGAGGGGAAACATGCGTTTGGCTTGGATCGTTTGAAATTCTGAGTTTGGGATCCCCGCCCGCCCGCCTGCCTCTTCCGCCCCGCGGGTTTTTTCCTTTTTTCTTTTGCTTTTTTCTTTTCTCCCTTCGGGTCTCCTTTTTGACTCCCTCCCCCTTTATGCTCGCCCAGCCCTCCCCCCGCTGCTGAGAAGTGGGGGAGGGTCTCGGCCTCCAGGTTCCCGCCCCACCGGGGCCCGGGCGAGCATGGGGGGCAAGCAGAGCACGGCGACCCGCTCCCGGGGCCCCTTCCCGGGGGTCTCCACCGATGACAGCGCCGTGCCGCCGCCGGGAGGGGCGCCCCATTTCGGGCACTACCGGACGGGCGGCGGGGCCATGGGGCTGCGCAGCCGCTCGGTCAGCTCGGTGGCAGGCATGGGCATGGACCCCAGCACAGCAGGGGGGGTGCCCTTTGGCCTCTACACCCCCGCCTCCCGGGGCACCGGCGACTCTGAGAGGGCGCCCGGCGGCGGAGGGTCCGCGTCCGACTCCACCTATGCCCATGGCAATGGTTACCAGGAGACGGGCGGCAGTCACCATAGAGACGGGATGCTGTACCTGGGCTCCCGAGCCTCGCTGGCGGATGCTCTACCTCTGCACATCGCACCCAGGTGGTTCAGCTCGCACAGTGGTGAGTCCACGGTGGTGGAGGCCTCGGAGGGAGGGCGCGCCGGGGCGCCCCAAGCCTTCGCGCGCGTGCCAAGGTTTGGGAATATAGTGCACGACCGGGATCTGTCTGCCTTCCCTTTGGTTCCCGATGCCAAGGGATGAATGGGATACCTACCCTCTGGAAACTAGGCTTTCTGCAAGGTTGCGGAGCCTGGCGATGTAGGACTCCCGGCGTGTGTTCACTTGTGGAAGGGCAGAGCGAAGCCTACCTATTGGAGTCCCATTTATTGGCATCTCCCTCCTCAGAGAAGCGGTCTTCTCTGGCTGAGAGCAAGTCAGCCTGGGTGCTTCCATTCTGCCACTGCAGCACTGTGCCTGCCTCACCAGTAACGGAGAGATGGAGCCAGTTGGAGCAAGCAGTGTCTCCAAAACAGAGTATGAAAATGAAATAAAATTAGGGGCGAGTGATGCCTGGATTAGGGCTCTCACTCTTGCTGGGAGAGAGAGGTGCCCAGTTTTGCCACCCTGCTGGAGATCTGTTTGAAATGTTTAAAATGGAGCAGCCGGCAGGCGGCTGGCATAGACAGGTGTGGCTGCTGTACGGAGGGCCCAGCCGGCGAGTCTCGCGGGGGCTTTGCAGGACCAGGGCTCTGGTCACCCGTACTGCATGCAGCAGACTTGGCTCCACGACTCTCACCTCCCTCCATCTTTTTTCTTCTGCTCCATGCTAAGTGCTTGGTCTTCCCGTGAATCTGCATCTTTTTGTAACAGGGAGCCTGTCAAGGTGGGGCATTATTGCCTGACTGTTGGCACATGACTGGGGGAAAGGAGGATTCAGAGAATCTGGATGAATTCATTTTATGAACTTCTGGTGACAGGCCAGCAAAAGGTTGGAGGGGGATTTCCCAGGCTCCTACTGGGAGGGCTAAAAAGGCCTGGCAGGAGGAAAACAGGTCTGTCTGCTAGGTCAGGCTTCTAGAAAATTGGCCAAAAGGTGTGTGGGGCCGCTGTTTGCTAATTGGCAAGTTGAGTGAATAAGTTACATCTTAAGTTTCTTTTGGGTGAGTTGGGAAAATTTAGATATTGTGTAGGGGAAAGATTGCTCCTGCCTTTAGGGTACTTTATGGAGGGTAATATCTCGTGGATCACTGTTTTACCTACTGTGAAATAGGGTTGACTTTTGGGGTATCGCTTTCCCCCTCCCTGCAAATATCCTGGGGTTTGTTTTCATTTGGTTCGGTTTTTTGTCAATTCTATAAACTATGTGAAATAGAGTTGGGGGACGAACTGTTAGTGACTAATTTAGGGTAACCCTTAGAAGTAGCTTGTGAATTGTTAGGATGATATTTTAATCTCTGAACAGACCTCCGGATATCATTGGAGCTTTTCTGACCTCATCGAACTCTGACCTGAATGAGATGCAAAACATGATTGCCTTTGGCTCTTTCAGGCATTTGATCAAAATTAGGCATTTTGAAATTAATAATCTTTCCTATGAAATTTAGTTCAGAGAGTTAGCCATATTTTTGAGATGACTGGTTAGGTGTTTAAAAGAACTGTAATGAGCATCTGGTTTTGAACTTAAAAGCACTATACGAAGTTTCTCTAAAATCACAGAATTTTGTGTGTTGAAAAACATGAGATATGTAGGGAGGAAGAAAGGGAGTTTTTTTTGTTTTTTTTTTTTTGCTGAAATTTCTTCAGTCTGTCTCTTACTAAAAATTTATTTATTATGCTACTGCCAGGTTCCATGCTAAAGTTATGAGCTTATAATTGGATTCCAGAATTTCAGTCCTAAGCTGTGAAAGCTTATTTTTTTTCATCCTGTTATGGTGAGAGTAGGGAGAGCCACTGAACTGTGGGGACAGGAAAGTTGGAGCACATTAATCCTTTGGGGAAGGGTGTCAAAAGCGTGTATGGGAGGCTGCTATTAATATTGTAGGTAATCTGTTCCTTACTGTGTAGGACCATCATGTCCTTCTGCAAGACATTGAGCATGCCTGGCCCCACCTACTAAATGCTGATAGCATCCAGCAGTTCAGTGTGTCACCCCAAAATGTCCCCAAGAACTCCCAAATGCCCTCTGGGGTGTGGGTGGTATCACTCTGGTTGAGAACCACTGCTTTAGGGATTTATTCTTTTATTTACATAAAGTCATTAACTTTTCCTGTGCAGTTCATTTGAGATGAACCTTCGTGTGCAGCATCGGTTCCATCTCACCTGAAACAGACCATGGGATCTTCCAGGACATGTTTCCTCTGTTGCTCATTGCTGCAAGAAGCAAAACTTGTTTCTGCTTTGGAGCCTTTGAGTAAGGTCTAAGCGGCTTTTGCTGTTGTGTTGTAAGATTAGAAGGGTAAAGATTTTGGTGCACAATTGATTAGATGCCTGGAAGTTGATATGATGCGTTTCCTTGTGTTTTCAAGGTGCTCTTGCAACTCTTCATGGGTACAGAAAACAGTTGTCAGTGAAATACATGGGGGAGTTCAGTGTATCCGAGGCCATCTCAGAGAGCGTGGGCTTAGGCTGAGTCTAGAGGTAGAATACGGAAGAGCCCTGGTCCCAGCTCCTCCTCTGAGCAGCTGTGACCTTGGGCAAGATATATCCCCTCTCTGGAGCCTCATCTTTGTCGTTTTTAAGATAGTTGTGGTCATCCTCATGAGCTCCAGCCTTGCTCCGCAAATCCCGGGAGAGGAAGCGCTGTGGTCACATTTGTCTTCTCTAGGTTCCTGGCTTCCCTGTGCTGTGACCCCCACGTATCCCATTCCCTATGCCTGGAGTGCTTTTCTGTCCATTCTTCACACGCAATCCTCTTTCTGATCCCTTAGGGCTTAGAGACCACTCTTAAAAATTGGCCCCTCCTGTTATTCTCTCCAGTCACTCACTTGTTACCTTAATCATTCTTTTTTTTTTTTTTTTTTTGAGACGGAGTTTCACTCTTGTTGCCCAGGCTGGAGTGCAGTGGCATGACTTCAGCTTACCGCAGCCTCCGCCTCCCGGGTTCAAGCAATTCTCCTGCCTCAGCCTCCGGAGTAGTTGGGATTACTGGCATGCGCCACCACGCCTAATAAGCTTGGGGCTAATTTTGCATTTTTAGTAGAGATGGGGGTTTCTCCATGTTTATCAGGCTGGTCTCAAACTACCGACCTCAGGTGATCTGCCTGAACCGGCCTCCCAAAGTGCTGGGATTACAGGCGTGAGCTACTGCGCCCTGCACCTTAATCATTCTTAACATACTTTGTAAACATTTTATCTTTTACATTTTTTGCGTACAGTTTGCCTAAAGTCTAAGCTCCATGAGAGCAGGACTGTGTTCCTTGATCTCTGCTGTGGGTCCTGCACTGTGCCTTCCTCTCACATTTTTTGAGTACCTGAATTTGAGTGCTTTATGTTCATCATCTCACTTAATCATCACTATAACTCTATGAAGTAAGACTGTTCTCCCCTACCCCCATTGTACAGGTAAGGAAACAGGTTTGGGGGAGATTAAGGAACTCACACAAGATCAGGCAGTTAGTAGGTGGTGGAGATGGGATCGGAATGCAGGTTGGCTGGTGCCAGAACCTGGGCTCTTAACCAGTACCCTCTTCTGCCTCTTATCTGAAAACATTAGGAAGTCGCGTGGTGTCCTGGAGATTGTGCTGGCCTGCGAGTCAGAGTGCTGGGCCCATTTCCTGGTTAGACAGCTGATTAGCTGCATGACCTGTGACCTTGGGCAAGCGAGTCATTTAACCTCAGTCACAATTTATTCATCAGTAAAATGGAGAAGACACCTGTCCTGCTTACCTCTCAGAGTCATGGTGAGGGTCTCATGAGATAATGTGCACAAAAGCCAAAGGACATCTAAATGGAGAGTGGTGGAGTTCCAATGGGGGCACTCTCTTATAGTTGTCTGCCTTCAGTCACCTCAGATTTTTTTTTTTTTTTTTTTTTTTGAGACGGAGTCTCGCTGTGTCACCCAGGCTGGAGTGCAGTGGCCGGATCTCGGCTCACTGCAAGCTCCGCCTCCCGGGTTTACGCCATTCTCCTGCCTCAGCCTCCGAGTAGCTGGGACTACAGGCGCCCGCCACCACGCCCGGCTAGTTTTTTGTATTTTTAGTAGAGACGGGGTTTCACCATGTTAGCCAGGATGGTCTCGATCTCCTGACTTCGTGATCCACCCGCCTCGGCCTCCCAAAGTACTGGGATTACAGGCTTGAGCCACCGCGCCCGGCCTAGATTTTTTTTTTTTTCTTTTGAGACAGGGTCTCATTCTGTTACCCAGGCTGGAGTGCAGTGGCAAGATTGTAGCTCACTGCAGTCTCAGACTCCTGGGCTCAGATGATCCTCCCAGCTTGGCTTCCCAAAGTGCTGGGACTACAGGCATGAGCCACCATGCCTGGCCTAATCGTCTCAGAATTTGATGGGTGGAGAGGTTTACAGCTGTGCTAGCTGTAGCCCCCAAATGGAATCTGGTTCTGTGTCCTAAAGTCTGACCTGCATTGGTGGGCTGCTTTTACTCATAATGCCGCCGATAAGGGCTGCTTTCTAGAAGCAGAGTGAGTCCCTTCCATTCCACGTTAAAATGTAAGTTTTGCTGTAACTCCTGATGGCTGCCTCGGTACTATTCTGGAGGTCTGGTCATTCTCTTTCAGTAGTTCTGTTTGTCTCAGAGTATGGATTTCCAAATGTGGGATACAAAACATGCAGGATTCACCATGTTGAAAGAAGTTGCTGTTTTCTAGGTTCTACTATAAAAGGGCTGGCCATTGAGGGCTTCACTTCAACTTCTTAGTCATATGTGTGTGTATGTGTATATATATATGTATATATACACACACATTCAGAAAAGTCTAAACTGTTCTTTATTGTCATCAAGCCATCAACTGAGACTGATACAAGGTGAATGTGTTTTGTTTTTGTTATTTTATTTTTTTTTTTGAGACAGGGTCTTGCTCTGTCACCCAGGCTGGAGTGCCATGGTGTAATCATGGCTCACTGTAGCCTCAAACTCCTGGGCTCAAGCCATCTTCCCACCTCAGC